AACAACAAGCTACGTTTTATCATCATACTCTACAATTAACAATCGTACTCCACAATTAACGTTAATAGTTATTCGCACTGAAATACCATACAACATAAATATAAAAAATATATCTACATAATATTTTAACATCTATCACATCATTTGTCCACGTAAAACACAAACATGCTAATATACCGAAATTACAGTATTGCACCTTATACACAACATATTGCACTTTATACATCAACGTGTTGCACTTTATAAAAGAACACCTTGCACTTTATCACGACTATAAGATCGCCCGAATAGCGAATGAAGCCAACCAAACTAATTTTTTTTTTCTTATTCAACCTAAAATAATATAAATAATAATAAATAAGATTATTAACATGTTAAATATAATTTTAATATAAATAAAAAATTATTTAGATAGTTTATAATAATTTAGTTAGCCAAAGCAAATAAACGAATTAATTATGTCCATCTTCAGTTTGATTAGGAACAAAGTTCGCTTGGTTCAATCTGCACAATACATAATGTCACCGTGCACCATATTGTTGGACAATTTGCATTTTAATAAATGTTAGATTGCACAGTATATTTCGTTGACATATATACTAATATGTTTAATAAAAAAGAATATAAAATATTAAGTAAAATAATAATAAATACTAATCATGTTTTTTATAATAAATAATATAATTTATGTCGGTTATATTTGGTAATTTATGCTAACCAACAAATTAAACTCATTATGTCGAAATTTTAAATTCAAAATTTTAAATTTCATTTTGATTAATTGTTTTTACCTTTAATGTGCATATTTATACACAATCTTGTGCAATTCACTTATAAAACAAATTACATATTTACCAATTTTTTTAATAATGTTGCATACATATGATATTTTTTTAAAGTGCACACCTACACACAATATCAAAATATTAGGCATCTAATGTGTCATTATTATGTAAAATTCAATTTCATTAAATTATAAATTGCTTTAAGTATTAAAATACACATATATCAAAAGATGAGAAATTGCAAAATAGGCCCCAAAGAATATCTAATTTTCATATGAAAGCCCCAAAACCAATTATGAGTAGCAGTATGAGTAGACATGGCCACGGGTCAACCGGCCCGCCGACCCGGCACGGACCCGGCCCGGTCAAACCCGTTGACCACGGGTCCGGACCCGGCTCGGATTTCATCCGGGCCAATCCTGGGTCGGGATTTTTTTGACCATGACCCGACGGGCCGGGCCGGGTCAGGGTCGACATGAAAAAATGCAAGGTTTTTTAAATTTTCTTTTTTTTTCCTTTTTTTTATTAGGACGGGTCCAGACCCGGGCCGGGCTCGGCACAGCCCGCCGGGTCATGGACCCGGCACGGACTTAAGCCGTGCCGGTTCAGGGTCCACCAAACCCAACCCTTCGGCCCGACGGGCCGGGCCGGGTCACGAACCGGCCCGGATTTTGGCCATGTCTAAGTATGAGTATGGACGTTAATTGCAGTCCGTACGCACCCATATAATTATCAGACTGTCGTCGTCAACCACACCGAGCGCCGCCCCGCCACTTCCCGATTCCCGCCTCATCATGTGGCCACCGGTGGACCTCGTCGGTCGCCATCCGACGCCACCACCGACGTCGCATAATCCGTCGGCCACCACACAGTCATTCGTCGCCGAGATGCTACCGACGACGACATCGACCATCGATGAACGCCTGTTGCGGCGGACAGCGGCCGCTGCCGTCATGGTCGCCGGCGAGCTCGCCATCCGGGCGTGGTTGTTTAGATCGAAGTTATGGTGGCGCTGTGAAGGTCGGCCACTGTCGCCATGGTCGCCGGTGGCTGTTTGCTGTGATGCCGCCGTCTCTGTGTGTGTGAGTGTGTGTGTGCGTGTGTGTGTTAACTGTGTGCGTATGAAGAAGAAACGTATTTTTTTGTGTGTGTATTGTGTGTGTGAGAGGGGGAGGGGAAGGGTTAGTGGTGGGACCCACTTAATTATGTGAAACTGAAATTACACAAGTGTCCTTTGAGGTGTCTAATTGACCATTAAATATACATATATTTACAACTATGCCATTGTATTTTGACCAAATTTATTAATGTTTGACTTAATTATATCTATTAGTATCATTGGTCCAATAGTACAAATTCATTCTTATTTCTTTCATTATCTTTCTTTCTTATATGATCCTTTCTATATATATATATATATAGGGTTGTGTTCACATGAGAAAGGTTTTAGTGAAAGAAATCATAACCACTAAAACAAGATGACCAGACGATTGAAAATAAACTAGTTTTAACCCGTGCATTTGCACGGCAAGCTATATGATAGAGAAAAATATAATAAAAATTAAAAACAACAGTAAAAATATAACATAATCATTGTGAAAAAAGTTTTAAGAAAGAATATTAAATATATATATGATAGAGAAAAATATAATAAAAATTAAAAACAACATTAAAAATATTTATACACTTATTTATATACAACGGTAGTTTTCGTACTATCAGAAAGTCCATTACTATAAATCATTATCTCAAAATCCTCTATCTCTATGCCGATTGATTTAGTTCCTTTTGTAGGAGTCTTTTGCCGGTTGGGAAACATCACTGGTATGTATGCTATTCATTGGTCAGGGCTTGTTAACCTCCAAGCAGTACATGTTTTCTTTGTTTCTAGGGCGCCTTAGAGCATGATTGGATACAAAAATATCTCAAAAATATCCCAACATTTTTAACACAACTACTTATTTAACTCAACTTTAACTCAACCCTACAATCATCAATATCATCAATATAATTAAATAATATCAAATCAATCATTCTTACACACTACACCACCTTAATTCATTATTCATCCACTCACATAATTTTAACTAACTATCACTTCAAATATTTTCTTTTCTACTTTACATCAAATCAACTTTAATCATTTAATTTTAAATATTATTTTAATATACTCACTAACAACTAACTATACCAACTTTTTCAAAACTAACCAAACCAAACAAAAAAGTCCAAACAAAACAAAAAATTTTATATCCAATCATGCTCTTAGTGTTCCTCGCTTTCAACCTTGTGGTTGTGTATTTGACTAATCAGCCTACCTATTATACATTGGTTTGTAGCTATAAAATTTATTGTTTCCGAGAAAAAAAAATCATCTGACTCGTAACTCTAGAAAATGTCACGTATAGTTGCCCATAACTAAATACATGGCTCTTCAGTAGTAGGCCGAAATACGATAGAGACTGCCATTGACTCTTGTTGATTGTCATAACATAGAAAATAATGAGCGAGAACCATATGCGCTGAAAGTTGAAAGGTACCCTCAGATCAGATGGTATGATTGTGAGCATAGAAATATGAACCTTGTCACCAGCTCTGTCACCGGTTAAAATTCTACATTCGAGGACATGACTGCTGAGCTTAGTACTAACCAATCATGTATATGTTGACCACAAAATTTGGAAAAAAAAATCATATCAATCGTATCTGTAAAAAAAATCATTCAAATACGAAATATTAGGGATTGTTGGTCTTTGGAACCAAGGTGTTACCGTAGACAAATCATATAACGCACATACAATAATTAAATTGATATAGTTAAATTATACCTTGCAATTTTATTTTTTTACAATTTTCATACACAACATGTATAATTTTGACAATGTCAAACTTTGTATATTAAAAAGTTGTCACAAAATAATA